ATATATATATATATATCTTTAGTTGAGTAATTAGGTGACTAGGTGAGATAAGCAGAGCTTTTCTCTGAGACACACTTGATAAGTGCCGTGATTAGTGCATAATCACACGCTTTTTTTATCGTTTAAATTTCTTGCGCCAAACTGAAAAGAGGACTTGGTAGGAAAATATGTCTAGAAGTCCTTGTCATGGCCGCAATTGTCATATACAATACGGTACATGATGTGGACCGAGGTAATTTTAAAAGTTGCTAACCAGGAGAGCCTAGATATACAGGACCACCTCATCCATTTTGGTATTTTAATAAAGAAATAGGAATTCTCCAATGAAAATATTAAAAAAATAATAATAATCAGAATGAAAGCTTTTTAGTTAGAAATATGAGACCAACACCAAGCAACCGCATTACAGGCAATTAGAATTTTTGAGCAAAGAACAAGGAACCAGCTAGCTTCAGCCAATCCAAGAAAACTGAACAACGACAGCAGTCCAAAGGTTTTACATCCCATGGAATAATTTAAGATACAAAAGCAACCGACGGCATCATCAAAGCATGCCATTTCCAAATGGGTATGAACACAAAATTCTATAATGAACAAAGACCGGTGGCAACATCGCAACAACACCTAAGAGAGCTACCCTTTTTTTTGGTTTTTTTTTCTTTTTTGGGAGAATGATTCTAAGAATAAAAAAAAATTATAATTAACCTTCAAAACAAATAAAATAAATAAGAGTACCCTCTCTAAATGATTGGATGTCAATCTATGAACAGTTTATCAGATCGCATGCCATGGACAAGTCAGCAGGTTTCAGCAGCCAGTTTGCGTCAAAATGTGGCACTACTTTCACTAGCAGAGATCGAGGGACCTTCAGTCTTCACAAGAGACGATCCTTTGCTGCTGATGTCGAGGCCCTGCAACCGACCAACAGGATCATTCTGCAAAAGGTCTGTCAGAGGATGAGAATTTGATTGTTGCATATGGTGAGCTGACATGCTGGCCTGGGAATGATTGAACGGTGGCATTTGCATGTTCTGGTGTCCAGATCCTGCTTGTTGTTGAAGTGAAAAATAGCCGGATGGGTTATATGGCATCTGGTGCATTCCTAAGTTGAAGGATTCAGAAGGGCTAATCATCTCCCCAGTGGCAATCTTGAGCCTCTCAACTTCCTTCTTAAGCGCTTCATTTAGAGCTATATAAGATTGTAGATAAAATAAGTGAAATGTGAAATTTAAAATAAAACACTTTTGAAGTATCAATGGATTCGAAAGAATACAAGTACAGCTAATGCTTACCATCACGCAACTGAGCTTGTTGCTCCATAGCTTGTAATCGAAGCTTAAGCTCTGTATTTTCTGTACTCAGACCTGTTGTATCTCTCTACATGAGACCGCAAGAAGTAATTAGGTCATATTTCTATAATGATTAAAAGAATGTTTATCTTCAGTGGGGGGAAAAAAGAAGAAGCAACGTGTGTCTTAGTGTGGAGAAAACCTAAAAATCTCCCAGCAAATGCTTGGAAGAAATGAAAAGAAGAAAATAATCGAAAATAAAGCTCTAATTATGTGCCAATCAAAAAACTTCTTAACATCAATCTCTTTAATCACTTTTCTTATAAGACGAATAAATTTTCCATCTGAGCTCTTCACATATTGCTGGGATGCAGCTGATCTCAATATGGGTTGTGAAGATAAGCCATAAAAAAGCTCAATATAACAAACCTGGAAGAGTGTGAGCTGGGCAGAAAGAGTGGTCGCTTCTGTTTGAAGAGTCTGAACTTTGCGCTCAAGTTCTTGTATATAGCGAGCCTTCCTCTCCTTCGAGCGAGCAGCAGACTGCCTATTTGCTAGTATCCTTTACATAATAAACAAAATGTCAAAGAAAGAATAAGGAATGAAAAATAACCACCGGATATAGAGTTTAATTTTCCCAATTGTGGAATTTAGACAAGCGGATATCCGCATGTCTTACCATATTCTCAAGTCTCGCTTTTGCAATGCAATACCTTTACAAAGCCTACTTTTAGTCATCAATTTCATTCATAATTAAAGTTGGGGCTGAATCAAAAACAACGATATGCCAAGAATCCTAATTTTATAAAGTGAAATTTTCATTTTACTACTTTGTACTCCTTCTAACAAATGACCTTTCCCCTGTGGAAAATTTCTCTGATATTGACCACCGTTTTGCTGTCTAGTGACAAATTATCAATCTTTACACTCTTTTGAACGTCCAAACTTATACTTGATCATCTCCTCAAAAATTATCAGCCTTATTCGGCAATTGGTAAGCATATGGAACAGCAGAAAATCTTGGTTTAAAAAAGAGAGAAAAAAAATCTTTCAGGACAATCTACATACCGTAAAACTTATAAGGAAAAACCACTGTGAATTTTCAAATCTAGAAGGATAATTACATCAGAATCGAAGTCAAATATCGTAAGCATCGGACAATATTATGACAATATGAACGAGATCTGAAGTGAAGCTGACTTAAATTGTCATATTGTCATGGATAACACAATTTAGAAGTTAGTGTACGACCAAAAACAGTAGAAGATTACAAGCACTAGGAAATCAATGAGAAATTACATAACATAGCACTGCTTTCATACTCATATATCGTAATTCTTCTTTCTGTTTGTTTTGTAATTTTTAATTTCTTTTCTAGTTCAAACTTACGCCAAATTCAGCTCTCGTATTTCACCATTTCCATTCGATAATTCAACGCTTCATATCCCTTCATTTTTATCAGTAATAATTTCACGCTCACGCCCTACATTTTCTCAGCATCCAAACAGAAGAAAGAGAAATAACGAACCTTTTGGCACGCTTGGGATCTATGGTCCAGAGCTCGGCAAGCTTATCAGGAGGCATAGCCTTCTTCGCATCCATAATCTCTCCAAACACGCTCGTCGACGAGCCGTCCACGGAGCTGCTGTGCCTGTGCCTCGGCCTCCCACTCCAACTCTTCTCTCCCTCACCCCCGCCACCTTCGGCCTTAACCTCGCCTCCATTGACGCCATTACCACCGCTCTGATCCGCGCAGCTCCCTCCGTTTCCGGCCCCGCCGAGCTTATCCACATCAATGTAGGTCGAGAAGAGGTCGTCCTCAGACCCGATCTCCTCGAGGCTCGCTGTTGACGATCCGACGTTGAACGGATCGGACGGCGACAGATCCATCATGTCCTCCGGCAGCCGGAAGCTGACCTCCGAGTGGGCCCTTCGGTGGCCTCCCCCGCCCTTGCTGAAGACGCCGGCCGTGGCCGGGTTAGGGTTCGGATTTCCGAGCATTGTGTGAGTTGCCGCCGATGAGGAAGAAGACGAGGAGGTGGCGGCGCCGGCGAATGGCGGTAACGGCGCTAAACGGTGCTTGAGAGCAGAAGAGGAAGTCACGTTAATGGCGTTGGGATTGTGAGAAGGAATTGAACGGGATTTGAGAATGGTGGAAATTGGGTTGTTCTTGTTAGATTGTGGATCTTGCATTTCTTCTGTGGACATCGTCTTATTATCGCATCTCTCTGAGTTTCTCTCTCTCTAACCCATGTGTTTCGCTTCCTTCCTTGTCACGAGCAATAATTAACCGCCTTTTTTTTTCCCTTCAACTATTCTAATGTCATTTTAGCTTCTTTTTTTTTTCATTTACCAAATTACCAATCAAATTTATTAATACAACTTACAAACAATAAAGATTGTAGAATTATGCAGATTGTTTTGTTGGAGAATTTTTTTAAGGGAGTAGGATCAAAAAATATATATATGAGCAGTTCTTTATTTTTAAATCGTTAAATTTATATTATAAATGGTTTGTTTTTTATATTTTTTTAATCAAATATAATTTTGACTAAATCAAACGATTAGAAACATATGCTGATAGGTTTACTGAAAAAAATATCATTTTATAGTAGAAAAATTCTACTGTATTCGTCCTTTAAGAGAAAAGTACATGATTTGTTATGGTTTTGTGCATAAGTATTATGTATATCATTTTACATAATTAAGTGTCATTGTAACATTTTATTTTATTTTTATTAATTAAATTGTAATTGTTTATTATTTTAGTAAAGTAGCATAACTAAATTTATCATATTGAGTGGTATTTTTAGTTTTTTATGCTTTTCAAAATTACTAATTGAGTCACGTGCTATGTACATGAAGAGTAATTTTAAAAGTTTGATCCTGTGTTTTAACACGTGACCTCCTTAAAAGTCAAGTTCATTAATTAGAATAAGAGAAAAAGAAAGTATTTGAAAAAACTATATAGGAGTTTTTTATTTTAAAAAACAAAACTTAAGTAGAGACTATTTAAAAAGATTTATTTTAGTTAAAAGAAAATGAAAAAGAGAAAATATTTCAAAGAAGGAAATTATAAAAAAAAAAAAATTGAACTGTCAAAGATATTTGGAGAAAAAAAAAAACAATAGGCAAAATAAAAGAGGAGAAATAAAAAAAATTAAAAAGAAAAAAAATTAAAAAAAAGAAGAAAAATGATGCAATACGTTGCCACCTTATAATCTAAAGTCTAAAAAGGTACTTAGCTTTTTTTATATATGTCATATTAGATTGGATATTATAAATAGCTAAAAAAAAAAAAAGAATTAAGTTGTAGGGAGCTTTTGAAAAAAAATAAATAAAGGCATATTTAAAAGATTTTTTTAATATAAATGAATTAAAAGAAAAAAGTATTTCAAAAAAGTATATAATAAAAAAGTGAAATTGCTTACAAGCGGAAAGCGTTTGAGAAGAAATAAAAAAAAAATGCAAGAAAAAAGAATTAAAAAGCAAAAAAGAAAAAAGGAGTAAAAGTTAAAAAAAAAAAAATGGAGGTCAAATAAAGATTAAAAAAGTAAGAGAGAAGAAGAGGTGTTGCCACGTATTAACATAGAAGAAAAGAGTTGTGACTCTTTTTATATATGTTAGATTAGATTAGGTGCACATAATTTTTAAATTTTAACATAGCCTGACAAGATAGAATTATGCATATCAATACAATACGTATTTTTCAAAATTTAACATATAAAAATTTCCCCTTTTTTTTGAACTATTGACATATAATATAGAAAAATACTAGCAACACTCTTTTTCACTATTTTTATCACTTTCTGCATTGACTATTTGACACGTTAACTTTATTATCTCATTTTTTATTTAAATAATAATATATCAAGTTAATGAAGTCACGTGTCAAACAGTGAATGTATAAAGTGATAAAAAAAGTAATAAAAAGAGTGTTGTTAGCATTTCTCCATAACATAAGTATTTTTGTGAACGTCCTTATTAAAATTGTGTGAAAATTACAAATATGATGATATTTAAATCGAAAATAGTAGAAAAAAAGTCAATATGAAAAGCTTAAGAAAGTATATAGGCTAACTTTTAGTTATAGAAATTAATAGGTCATAACTTGTCAAGTTATGGTTCATAACCAGATAAGTTATGGACAAACTTGTCAAGTTATGGTTCATAATCAGACAAGTTATGGACAAAAACCGTGAATTATGGACAATAACTTGTCAAGTTATGATTCATAACCAGACAAGTTATAGACGAAAATAATAATTTGACCTATTTATTAACTTATGTAAACTATTGGCCTATTAATTTTAATTAATCTTAAGTCTTGGCCTATTTTTCTCGTTCTCCCTATTTAAATTTATATTTAACACTAAAAAATTTATATTTAATACTATTTTAACAAAAAAAATATGTTTAACGCTATTTTTCTTTTGTGTTTAGTTTAGCACCATCCAATACTCATAAATGTCGTTTTGTAAGCTATTTATTTTTTTATCGGTGTTTGGTTATTGATTGATTATTAATTCTCGTTTTAAAAAATATGAACTAGGTTTGAAGAAAATTTTTTAGAATAAATTTTTTTAAAAATAAATCCTAATATTTGTGAAAGTTGGAGGTGCATTAGTTTATCTCGATTACTTTTATTTATTAACTTGTGGAACTGGCTAACAGACCTAATAGTGATTTTAAAAAAAAAAAAACTTTAAAAATATCACCATGATTTTTTGTTCTTAAATGTACACTAGATCTAGAAGCGGGCATTTTTATTTTTATTTTTTTCTAGCACAAGAGATAAAAAAGATGTTATTACGTTTGAATTATGATCCGTACTTCTCTCGCAAACAGGTTTTGAAAAGAAAATGGGAGTCCACCGACTGATGGAGCGTGCGTTTGTACAAATGTTTTAATCTAGTGAATCTAAAATGTAAAAGAACAGGGTACAAAACATTTGTAATGAACCTCAAAATGTTGTAACAATGATTATGTTTGGCTTTTTAATACACTTTCACTTTCAAACACCCAACAAAGCTTCCTTTGTGCAAGACACAAAAGGCTTTTGTGGCAATTTGGATTATTTTTGTGACAACGAAAGCTCTCATATATATGGTGATTATGCATCACATTACAAAGAGTTGTAGAGTGCAATATGGAAACATCAAACATTTGGTACCTTTTTTAAGTTCAAAATATGAATATCACAAAGTTGGGTAGACATTTTTGTTTTTGTGTTTTTCCCTTTGGTGGGGTTAATGAGACATATGGCTTAATTATGTTTGTGGAATTAAAATATGGCTGCAATTTGTGAATATTCTACATATGGCTAAATGCATATGTATGATGACATTATTGTTGATTTGAATTTATCGTATAAATCAATTTTAAAGATAATATATAAGAAATACGATAGATATTTTATCCCATAATATGTGGGTTCATTGTTATTATTTTTAAATGAATTAAATCTCTAGCATTATGACATTTCTTACTCAATATCAAATATGTAAGTATTGACAAAGCACGATTTATAATTTTCTCATTCGGAGAGTCATTAACATACAAGCAACATATTTTTTTATATACTAAAAACAAAATTAAGATACTAACAAGATTATAATTAAATCTATATGTAGATATATATACAAAAACCGGTTAGTAAATATATCATTATAAGAAGAATAATTAGAACACAAAGACATGAATTTTTGTGTTATCATTATAATAATGAATATATCACTATAGTAAAAGCATAAGAATAATAATAACTTAAGCAAACGGGATGTATTTTTTTAGATTGTTATTATAATAATGGATATATTATTATACTAATGAAGATTGACATCACCTACACAAATATATACAAATTTAAAACAAGCATTAAAAAGAAAAAGATGATAAGTGTGTGTGTGTATAAGAAATTCAACAATGGGAAAAATATGAAAATTTGTGATCAAAACCAGGGTACTTTTGAATTTTCAGGAAACATAATTCAAAAAGTAAGCTATATAAATGATATTTGTAAAACTAAACCGATTCACTTTGAGGGTCAAATTGCGTAATTTTCACTTTTGGAATTGGATAACAGTCCATTGAGCTTTAATGGTACCGGTCGAAGCCTTGTTAATTGTTATACATCCTTCCACACCCCAGGGGTTCCCCAGGCCCACCACCACTACCATCACCAACCCATCTTGGTCTTTAATTGGGAATCAACAATCCTGCAGACCTTCATAAATGAGTTTATGATATTTGGAACTCAAGACAATGACTAGAACCAACCAATATTTGTTT